GGTCGGCGCATTTTCAGGTTAGTTCTTTTTACTCTAGTTTAGAAGTTGATGATATCAAAAATTAGCAAAGACTAAGCTCGGACCTCTTAGCTCGGACATCTCAATTACAACATCAGAAGTCATAACAACAACACCAAATGCATGTATTGGTGTTAACTTACCAAAACCTTAGATAGTCAAGGTAATCCTCAAATGTATGACTACTAAAGAAAAACAGGGCATAAGGGTAAAAACAAAAAATAAGTTTTACTCAACTCTTTCCTCACTGATTTGAAAACAATAATTACACACACACACACACACACACAATTTATGCAAGTGGCATTTGCAGACAAGATCATACAAATTCCTCTTTTGGTTGCTCGAGATATTGTGAATCCCGGGAAAGTGTGAGAAAATATTTTGGCATGGAAATATATTATGAGATCCTCTCATATCAGAAATGAATCTGGTAAAGTTAAATCAACAGTGTAATCATAGGGAAAGGGAAAAAACACCCTCCCACTATAATCGGCTTTCGGCTACATGTGTTGCCATGGAAGAAACAACCGACCACCATGCCTACATGTTGGTTTCATTACATACTGACCCCATAAACTACACCTTCATAAAGTTTTTGGTGATTTTTGCTTATGACTTGACAACCAATCTAATCACAAACGCTTTAGGCTCATTATCACTTTATAAACTCGAAATGCACATAACCTGGTAAAAATGTGTCACCTCAACAAAAAACATATAAGAGTTACATTAAACGTCAAGGTACGAATAACAGAAATTTTACCATCTGAACTATTCTAACATGTCTAAACTGAAAAAAGTTTTGTTCTATGTAACAAATATATACCAAACTTTTTACAAACTCTTAAAAAAACAACTGCTAGCTGTTAACAAACTCCTACAACAGCTTTTTGTTCAGAAAACTAAGGTGATTGGTACACACAGTGGGTATCATCCTGGATGAAGAAACAAATTGCAGGACATAGAAAGCACCCACTTGGATTTTACCAAGGACATAGAGTATGAAGGATTCACAAACTGCTTAACAGTTTCTTAGTTGTGGCTCTTAATCAAAGCTACAGCCTACAGGCAGGTATAGACATTGTGATGTGCAAAATTTGACCTTGTAATCTTTGCAACAAAGAAAGAGGAAAAAAAAAAACAACATGCTAGTACAAGATCCTTGCTCATTACCCAGAGTAAGCAATTGAAATCTAGCACAAAAAGGTACATGATCCATATACAAGCATGTTACAAACAAGTAGGGTTATATATAACTCAATAATTGCACTCCAAGTTCTTGTTCTAAAAAATAAAAACATAAATTTGAATAGTAAAAATTATAAAATTGAGTGACCTGGTTTCTTGTGAACTTTAGCAACATTGATAAACATACTCATGTAAGATATGAAGGGGTTATCATTGCTATCAGCCTATCCATTTACTTATCCAATTCTCCTGTAGGCCTTGATAACATCTCAATTTAGTATTATCATTGTAAAGCAATTTATTTGATATCTGACCTACTACTAATGTCTTATAAACAAAGTCATCCTTTCTCCACAACAGTAAATGAAGACAACTTACCCAGCTACAAACAAAAATCAACCTTAGACATTAGAAGAAAAGACATTACGCGTTTATTATATAACTGAGGGCATGGACATCTTTGATTGCAAAATGTCTTCCATATATTATAACTAACATTATAGGAGACTTGTTTCCACAATCATACTCATGATACTTTTAAACTAAACTCAAATTAAGAAAAACTGAATATATAAGCACTTTATCAGCAGCCTACACTCCTCATAGAGTCATACAAACTACTTTATCTCATATCTTTCTTTACCTTGAACATAACCAATCATCCAAGGATTTTGTAGCTTTAACATTGGGTGACTTGGTTATTTTTTCCCTTCCCTTGTCAATTATCTAAAAATTTCATATCCCTTGAGTAGAAAGGTTACCAACAAGAACGAAGCCAGGATTTTAGTCTTTTTTTTTTTTTTTGGTGGGGGTGGGGGGGGCATCTAAGTAAGAATTGTTTAAGTTTTTATTTTTTTGATCAGATGGTAATCTAAGATACATCTTGCCTTTTGTAGTTGTAATTAATAATTAATAATTTTTTATTGTAATTTAACTCAAACTTAATAATAATTTCACCTCAACGAGTTGTATCCTCACTTTTATGGTATATTAGGTTTCAGCACAATACAAACTCGGTACACTGCATTTATTTTATTGGTCTTGTATTCAGAAAGACAATATTTTAAGAGAATGAATTGAAGTGTGTTCCAACATAATATAAGAAAACTTCATATCTTAAAATTTTATTGGATAAAAACTAAAGATATAATATAAAAAATTATTTTTTAGTACTGTAACCGAATAAATATTACTGAGAAAGAATTTTTATTGTAAGCATTGAACAGATTTGGTATTCTTTTGACAATATACAAAAGAAGTGGAAGAGGTCAATTCTCTTTGACAAACACACAAATGTTTTAGGTACTTAATATATTGGGGGGAGGGGCATGGCTGCTTTGGCCAAAGGCTAGCTCTGTCCATGGTTACCGAGTTCTTATCCCATGTGTTTTTCTTTTTCATCTGATCAAGAATCCCATATGCTTAAGAAAAAGCTACATTAAGTTGTAAAGATTACGGGCAAGTTTAGGGTAACTTTTCTTGGATGTTTTATCTAGTGGAACAAAGGAATGACTTGATAAATTTAGAGCTTCCATGCATTTACAAAGTCTCAAGTTCGACTCTTTCAAAAGAACCTTAGTTTAACTAGGTGTAAAATTTGCATATTACTATGCATATGTAGACTGTATTGTAATCATGAATCCAAATAATATGTGATAGGAATGATTATCCATTACGATTAAAAAAAAAGTAGAATAAGGGATGGGATGATTATCAATCTAGCAACTAAAAATCATACTAGCCTCCATATATCTTACTAAATTTTTTTCTTATAGTATCTTTCGACATAGAGAAACTAATTTGTGACATGAGATAACATGGCACAGGAATAATGTATGTGGTTGTATCTTCAAATGAATTGCTTCCTCAATGCACAGGAATAACGTGTGATAGTTTGTTCGTGTGGGAACATAATCTCCCAAAATCAAAGGTCGACCTCTAGAAATGAATTATTAATGTAGTTTTAGAATATAGTTACTAAACATGTTTCAAGATAGAATAATACTAGTAGGACTTAATAATCTGATCTAACACTCTGATTTATTGACCCGAAGTTGATATCACCAGTAAAAAAACTCAACAATTATAGTTACAATAAAGTTCACATTAATGCCATCTTGTAGATATATTTTACAAATTTACACCAAACAGAACCCATAATCATTTAGCAACAACTCCAAAGGCATTTCTTAGAATCTTTTATAAGATTTAGTTGAGAGTTAGCCCTCACATGTACATTACTAATAGTGGTAAAAGCATACAATCTTTTATCAGCAGTTGGTTCAAAACTGTATAAGTTACCCCATTTGGCTTGGACAATTATGCTCCTATCATATTTTTGAAGTTATAATATCTCTCCTTTTGCTCAAATAGAACTCTAATTGAACAAGGTCGAATACACACACTGGAGCACAGTATTATCCACTGTACATGAATATGGTGCAAGACAAGCATATATCTTGTCAAGTAATGTTGGTCTGCTATCAATCTTCTACATTAATTGCAGCCTTGGAAATATTTGAAATGTGTCTGAATTTTGAAAATCACCCACAGTGATCTGCAGAATATAATTAACCAGCTACCTTCCCCAAGACAAGCATATATAACCCATCTAAGATGCAGAAGATTCTTAACCGCTGTACTCCAGTCTTCTTGAAGAAAGAGGGCTATTTTTTGCAGGTTTAAACTATTTATATCTACATTAGCAGACCTAAAATGGGATAAGAGTTCTTGGAGTTGTTGAGTTGGGTCGAGTAAAACTATAAACATTTACCTAAATGGGACAATTAAATAGTATTATATACTGGGTTCTTCTTTTCATTTAGCTACATATATAGTGTTTCTGTCCTTGGGCCAGCAATTGCATAATACCGATTTTTTTTTTTTAGTTTTTTTAACTCTTATAAGACATAAGACAAGTACTTACTTTGAGTGTTAGTTAAAAGTCTTCGAGTGCAGTGCATTTTATCAGTGTACCCATATCTAGTAAATCAGAGAAGACTGGTCACAAAAATAATAGAAAACAAAAACAATGAAAAGAAAAGTAATGCAGCCCTCCTTGTGATTTGTCAGAAATGATGAAAAATCATATTCACAAGGTAAAAATTCCAAAATCCAAGCATGCTAAACAAAGTATGAAGATGAAGAAACCATTTCTGTAGGCCAGAACAGAAGGGTCACCCCATTCTCCATTGGGAAGTGAAATGTGCATACCTGTGGAAGTCCTCCATTGGTAAAATATCACAGATGAACATGGGATGGACAGATAATTTGCAAACTAAGGAAAACATACTGAATCCTTCTGTTTCAATAACAGGTACTATAAGTACATAGTATGATTGTATGCACCTCTTATACAATAAAAAAAAACATAAATTTATGCACCTAATGGATGTATGCACCTCGACAAGTACCCCTCCAGCAACACCAAATGGTATAACATTTCATTTCTCTTTCATGCACGGCTATTTGTAGATGCATTTTGATCTAAGGAAGAAAAGGGAAATATATGTACATATAATATATATGTGAACAGACAGAGAGAGAGAGAGGGAGAGAGAGAGAGAGAGAGAGTTTTGCTTTCACCTTTTGAACCTGAATGTTCATGCATGGAGGACAGGCCGAACCGAAAGAGAGAAAAAGATGTCCTCATTGTAGATTGTCCAACAAAAGAAGCAACCCATTTGAATCACCTTTTTCAAACCGGCAAGTTTACGCGTAAACGGGGAGAAAAAGCAACTAACGAAGTTCAAAACCATCAAGAAAGCGTAATGAAATTCAACCCAGAAGGGAAAAAAAAAAAAGTAGTAATAGTAGTAGTAGCTATATAAAAAACTAATAAAAACAAGAGCAAGAAGAGACACAGCACAACACGCCAATATGCAAAGCAAAATCAACTTCGTATTTCAAAGAAAATAAGAATGATTCAACCTTGCATCGATATTTGGACTAAAACAAACATCACACCCTCATTTCCTCATCTGCCTTCTCTTATTTTCTTTCTAATTCAATGGATCTCATATATATTTCCCAGAACAGTGGCATTACTATGTTGAATATGGAGAGTGAAGGTTGAGAGAGAGAGAGAGTTGAATTATAGTAGTGTTTATGATCTTGGATGTGGGAAAAATTGCGTACCAGCCATGAAAGTGTTAATGGGAGCTGGATATAGAGAAGGGTCAAGAAAAGCTGCGGTTGAAGAAGAAACTACCGCACCACCACTGGTGGTTGGAGTGACGGCGGAGGTGGCAGCGCCAGTAATGAGATTAAGTTGTTGAATTCCGCCGCCGCTACCACAGCCGGAAGAGCTCTCTCCGGCCATGTACTGACTGTCAAGGCCTTGATCATAGAGAATTCCCTTAAACACATGCCCACCAATGTTCACAGCCGCCTGATACGCAAACTGATCATCAGAATCATCCTTAGAGCTCATTCGCACACAGCGAAACATCGCCGGTGATTTCACTTCAGCCGGAAAATTTCCGACTTCCAACCCTAAAAAAAAAGAAGCATGCTTATAGATTAGTGTATAATATATGAATCAAAGGGATTACAAAATATTCTTCTAGATAATTGTACAAACAGACGCTCGTACACGGACACTCAAAAGAGAAAGAATAGTCTCTTCCCTGTCACTCTATTTGTCAGGATTACAAGAAAACAGTATACAGAAAGAAAAGGAAAAAGAAAAGCTGATGGGTTCTACCATGGAGGTCGATTTCATCATCATGTGTTTTCTTCTTTCCTTCTGTTTTTCTGCGACGATAATTGTTGTGCTTACTCTCTCTCTCTCTCTCTCTCTGAGTTCTACACAATTCTTTTACGCAATCTAAATGAAATCTTTGGAACTGTGGACTGTATCAACATATGGAAGCAACAAACAAAGTAGAACTGTACCTGAAGTGTTGGTGGGTAAATGAGTGCAGACGAGAGGATAAGCACTTGGATTCTCTCTCTGCCTTTTGGGGTTCTCTCTATGTAGCTGAAGCTGTTGTTCTTCTTGTTGTTGCTGTTGCAAGGAAGAAAGTTGTTGCCTCTCGCGCCTTTTGGCAGCTGGTACCCAAGTGCTCTTGAGATGGGTTTGGCACTGAAAACCTCGGCTCTTGCAACAAGTTCTACATCTCATGTGAGTACAGTCCTTCTTGGCTTGGTTTCCACAGTCTTGGCAGCTAACACCACCACCTCTCATCATCACAAAACCCGATCTCGACGGCTCATCGGAGAAGTCGATTGCGCTCCTGCTCGGTCCAATGGCTAGTCCTCCGGCCGATGAATAAAGATCTTGTAATGGGTTGTGGCGTTGTTGGTTAATTTGTTCTTGGTGGTGTTGGTGTTGTTGCCATAGCTCGAAACTCTTGTACGGTAAGTCCTCATTTCTGTACAAGAACCAACTTTCCGGAGTGATTTCAGGTGGTGGGTTGTTGTTGCTTGGTTGGTGTTGGTCCTGGTTGTTGTTTGTTCCTCTTCCTCCACCTAGTGAGAAAAACCCAGCCATTTTTCCACCTTTAAACCTGTCCCCAACCTCAATTGTGACTGACAATCCATAGCAGAACCACAAACCTGCCTAGATTGATACCCCAAAACGAAGTGGGTATGTTTCGATCTCTCTGGGCTTTTCTTGATTTGAGTAGTTCGATTGATTTGTGGGACTTCGAAAAAGGGTTCTTTTGTGCGAGTGTGTGTGTGTCTAATTGAGCTTTGTTTGTGTTGGGCTTCTCGCAGCCTTTTTTCTGTGGGGCAGACAAGTCGGCGAGGGAGACTTTTGCGGAGAGAGAACGAGAAAGCGAAAGAGGAAGTCGAGGCCCCTTCAATTCTGTGGCTTTGTTGTGAGCAGCATTAAAGACACAGAAGAATTACAGCTCTGTTACGCCGCCATGGCCAAAAAGCAGACGTCTCTGTGTCCGCTCTTTCTATCCTCTCTCTGATCTCTGTATCCACCAATTTAAGGCTCACAGCAGAAACACCGTTCCATTTCTTTGCCTCTTTCTCTCTCTCTTTCTTCTGTGGCTGCAACCGACGAGGTTTTAGCACTCAACCACAGTGGTGTTGCTGTCTCTTTCTCTATTGTTTGTGTAGAAGGAAACCCTCTCTCGCTCGCTCTCTCCACAGACCACAGTGGTATGGCTTTCTAATTTCATGCTAATTGACGACCCATCTAATGCCACTTGTCAATCCGCTAACTTTTGTTCCCTGGTTCTTTGTAAAAAAACCTGCTGGCTGCTGCTTTTAACCCCAAACCCCCTCTCCCTCCGCTCACCCCCCCCCCCCCCCCTTCCCCTGGGTCCCTTTTTCTTAAATTATCAATTTCTAATCATTTCCTGCTAATTACATGTAAAATTACCCAATCCGGAATCTAAACTGTTGATTTTATTTCTTTTGGCTCTTTTATTTAGTGCTTTGAAGTTGTTTTTTTAATGTTTTTGTACTCCTTTTGGTTGCTAAAACAAGCATGGTTTTATATTAGAGCTGTTAATCGATTATATCTTGTCATATTTGTATTATATTAAAAGTTATTTTACTCATACTTTAACATATTCATAAACATAAATTTGTGTGCAACGTTAGATTCATGTCATATATTACAAAATCGTGTTTTGTGGACAAGTAATGCTATATATTTTAAATTTGTATCCCAAATTAAGGAGAACCATTGGATCAGTGAGTTCCATCAACTTTTTTAAAAGTAATGATATGTATCTCAAATTTGTAATTCAAATTTACATCTCAAATCAAAGAGGACCATTAGATCAATGGTCTCATTTAAAAAAGTTGATGAAACTCACTGATCCAATGATCCTCCTTAATTTGGGATGCAAATTTGGATTACAAATTTGGAATACATAGCATTACTATTTTTTTAAATGAGATCCACTAATTCAATGATCCTCCTTAATTTAAGATACAAATTTGAGATACATATACATTATTCTTTATCGACTCCAAATTCACTCAAGTGTTTAAAATATTTAATGAACTTGCTCATTTATTATTTGAATCAGTTAAATTAATCCTCATTTCGTGAGTTGTATCTGAGAAGTTAGCCGTTGATTAAATGATGGTCGTAACTGTTATTAGACATGATCATCCTAGTGCTTTGATAAAAGAAAAAAAAAAAAGAATTGTGTCTCATTTACTAAACTGTAAAGCACCATGAAATATAGTCTTTTAAAAAATACTCTTATTTGATCAGATTATTCAACTAAATTTATTTATTATATCAGCTATCTCATTAGATTAGTGAAAAAAAAATCTCATCTAATATAAATTAGATACAAATAATATTTTTCAAGAGCAATGTTACATAGACCCATTGGTCATCCACCGAAATGATTTGATTTAACTACCGAAGTAACTTTAGTTTTTTTTTTCAATAATGGTCCCCCACAGAGCCAGTCAATAAGGATACTCTCTCTCCCTCTCTCTCTCGGGTTTACTGTAGGAGGTCTACATCAAATAGTTCATCTTTCACTTGTCTATCTAATTCTAGTTAGCATTAATGCAACCAAAAAAAGAGTCTCCTTCTGCTAAAAAATTCCTGATGGCGTATACCATTAATATGAATAATTATTGTCTTCCTTTGTACTTTGCCTATTAGTTTGAAAGAAAAGTAAAAACAGGTGCAATAATCTCGTGACATTGTGACAAGGTGGAGCTAAAGAGATGACGTCAAAATTCAAAGCCACTAGGATGGGGCTACAGGCTACCTCTTCAATATTATTGTCAATATAGTCGGACAATTCGTATTTGAAATTACGGTATAATTTAAATTATTTTAAGAGTAATGTGAGTGATTATTGAATGAATTTATTTGAAATCGTCAAATAAATTTATTGAAATTTGTATTATTTTATATTATAGAAGATAATCCTAAGTTTCTAGTCAGACAACTCTCATAAAAAATATTTAAAAAAAAAAAAAAACCCCCAAAAAATCTTTGTCTCTCTCTTTCTCTAATAGTTATTTGAAAATTTTGAACTTTTAAGTTTTGATTATGAACTCGGTGTGGTTTTGCAATTTGAAATTATAGCCAGTGAAGGGATGATGATATTGATTAATTTTAGATAAAAAAATTTCGGAAATATGCGTGGTTTCAATTTTAAGTTCGAGTCGAATGGTCCCTAAGATTATGCTGAATCGAGCGTGACCAAGAATTAAGCTGAAATAGAACTAAAGTTGGCACAAGCATCCAAATTAAAAGGTTTGTGCAATGGCTGTGAGGGCCGAGGGAGGGGACCATTTGCTACATAATTGTTGACAATAGTCCTTAATTATACATCACAATTGAGGAGCCAAGAGGCGAGGACATTTACTGTGATAGTCAATGTCAACCTGATGGCAAACAGTTTGTTTAACTCTTTTATTTCAATGTGGACCCGCCGGACTGCTATCCCGGCGGATACGGCCAATCAAAAGGATTGTAATCTTACGTTTTTCAACAGTAATATTCAAACATTATTAATGGAACTTATTGACATAATTAATTATAATTATTGAATGGGTAAAGGAAGTCAATTGTCTTAATAATATTATTATTTTTTTACATAGTCCCCTCATTCTTATTAATTAAAATTATGAGTTTTGGACTTCTACTTCACCACTTGCGGTTATGCTTTTTAGTTGGATGGTGATGGTGTAAAATTCTCTCTCTCACATTATTTCAAAAAGAAATTATTACAGATCACAAAATTATTAATTCATGTAGGAATTATTATTTTTATGCATATTTCATACTCATACATAGCAAATAATCCACCATTAATTAAATATTCAAAAAAGTACGATAAAAAGGTCAAGATTGTGGTGACAGTGGGAGAGTGTCTATAGATTGGCTTGAAAAAGAGGCGCCAATTCAAAAAATAAATAATTTAATAATATTATTTTGACTTAATTTAATATTTTAATGCATTTATTTTTATTAAATTGACATTGAATTTTAGTATCAATTTGGATTCATGACTAATTAAATAGCGTACTCAATGTACGAGGCTCTCGTTAATTCGGAATTTAGGGAGAGTTCAATGTACACGGTCTTATCTCTACGGTCTTATCTCTACAAACAAAGAGATTGTTTTGACAATTCAAACATGTAACCTCCAGGTCACAATGAAGCAACCTTACCATTGTATTAAGGCCCGCTCTCAAATTTGCAACCAATTTAATGACTCTAATGTATTAGATTAACAAATATGGAGAATAAATTAAATCTAAATAGCTTTTTTCATAATCAATATATATTAATTTTTTGATGGAATAATTTCGGCAAGTTTAGTGCTTAGATTTTTGTATACATAAAGTATTTTATGAATTAAAAAAATTCAATATATAAGATGTAAACTTTGAGTCAAATGTTTATGATGGTGGGGAATGAAGGAGAGTATCCTCCATCTTTCAATCACCTCTAATTCCTTGTTGGAGGATACAATCATACAATCTATTCTTTTTTCTTTCTCTTCCTTAAACTAAATATTATTGAAGGATCTTTCGGGGGGGAACATTGACTTGTGCTTGCAGAAATGAGGGCTTTAGCGAAGAGAGTCAAGGTAATGAAAAAAAGGGATTGAAGTCAAAAATTCTAAGCCATAATAATAGTTGTCATAAGGGATTTTCTACAAACAAGTTCGGTGCATCCTTGAAATTTGAGAGAGAGAGAGAGAGAGAGTTGTTTAATCTAATGAGGTTTTGCATTAATGACTTTTGGTATGATTCCGGGAGAAAAATATGTTTGGAACTTACCATAGAAATAAATCTGCAATTTTGCATGCAAAATTTGAAAAATTAATGAAAAAGAATAATGTTGTATCGAAATCTTTTTGTTAATTCAACAAAGTTTAAGTTTTTTATATTTTTGTAAAGGTCATTTATAAGTTTTAAAATGGTTGAAATTAATCCTAAAATTTCTAGGATTAATAATTTTAGTAGGGGTTGATGATGAATAATTTTACTAATCGAATGTGTGGTGTAAAATAATTAATAAAACAGATAATAATAATAGATAAAAATTGGATGGTTAAGTCTAGGTGACCTAACCACAGAAGATGGGAAATAGTGGTCAGAGAACTCTATTAATTAGAGAGTACAAGATAATTGGAAATAGGGAGATCAAGAATAGGAGAGCAAGAATACACTCTGTGTCCTCTGCCCTCATGTGTAGGGGTTTTATAATTTATCAGCGCAGAGTCATAGATAAAACAATTACGTGAAAATCAAGTTACTAATTTATCGGAAAATGATAATTACTATTAAAAATAGGCATTATTTTAAGGTAATGACTATTCCAATCATTATTTTTTCACGTGCGTTAACTAGACTTTTGGGGTTTAGATTGAGTTGAGACCATGAGCTAAGTATAACCTGCCTTTTGATGATATGAGTTCAACTCATAGACTGAGTCCAAATTTGATTTAAATCTGGGTTTGTCAGGGGTGTTCACCCTACCTTATGGGCAAGAATTATAATATTCTATTTTCTTACCCAATATTTTGCGAAATAATTTTTTCTTGATTTATCATACCCGATCAAGTGTAGTATTTCTAGGGGTGTTCACCATACTCTATGGATATGAAATATGTTCTTCTGTCTTCTTACCCGATACTTTGCGAAAGAGTTTTTTCTTGGCCTACCCTACCCGACAGGTATGGTACTCCTACTCGATTAATCGGGTAAGAAGTTGGGTAGGAAAGCGGGTAAACATTTTTGTAACAATTAATTTTTGAATTATTTTAATAATTTAATTAAATAACATTCACCAATTTAACAACACAATAAATCAATTAACACTAAAATCTAAAACAACTACAACAAAAATTATAATAAAACACAAGAAAGTATGAACATCAATCCACCATAATTATTACACAAATACAATAACAATTAATTTAAATTGAAACTTTAAACCATATGAAATCCATTAAAATCATAATTGCTCCGTCTGTGGTTAGGATTTAGGGTTTTTTTAGTTTATATATATATATATATATATATATATATATATATATATATAAAAAATTATTACGGGTAGGATAGGGTAGGAATGCGAAAATGGATGGCTATTCCGCATTCTTACCCGAAAATTGTCGAAAGACCAAAAACTCTTCCGCATTCCTACTCGATTTTTGCAGTTAGCCGTTCAGTAGGGTAGGATAGGGTCGGGTAGGGTAGGAACTTGCGGCCGGTCGAAAATTTGAACACCCCTAAGTATTTCTATTCGAATTCTATCAAAAATAATCGGGTAGTAATTTGGAAAAAAAATTGGATGAACACATATTTTTTAGTTATTAATTTTTAAATAAACAATTAACTAACATAATAAAATACAACAAGAAAGTTATAATTATCAATACATTATATATAAGAAAATTATAAATATTAAAAAATATTAAAATTTCTAAATTTTTAGAAATTAACATATATAATATATATCTGATTCATTCAAGTAGTCGATCAACAAAGTTGAGTAAAATAAGTCAAAATTTACGAGTAATCAATAATTTGAACACGGCTAAATTTTAGTTTTGATTCCGAGTATACTCAAAAATTATAACTTAAACTATAAAATCTTTTAGAATTCAATTTTAAATTTTTTTTAAGATTTATCTTTTTTGTTTTTTTTTTTTGATAAATAGATTTATCTTATTTTTTTGTTATAAAATAAATCTAAAAAATTAAGCCCCGCAGGCGCTTTCGGGAAAGGGAAATCTAAAGTTAACGCGAGATTTTGCAACGTTGACAGCTGGGTGAATGAATGATGCATGCGAGTCCCAATAATTGCGTACCTTTTTCTTGGCTCTGTCTGTCATCCTCGAGCCCTGTGCTTGTTCCTGTCCTTGGTTGACTACTACCCTTCCTCTGCCCTTTCCACCTCGGAACCTCTGGCCTCGACACTGCAGCTAATCCTCCTATTTCAATAACAGACATTTGTTCTAGCCCTCGAGCTAATTTGTTAATTCATTCATAAATAATTATTAAATTAAAGACAAAAAAATTGACTACCTTATACCACACTTTATTTTAATCATCTCAAGTTGCACAATCACAATTACTAAATATATTTAGCAATTTTGTAGATTTTGTTAATTTAGGACTTGACTACGAAACTGAAAAAAAACATTCAATATCGTACTTTTAAAATTTATTATATTAATACATGTTTTATAATTTTTATGAGTTATTTTATAACTAAAAAATTTATCATTTTTGTGAATATTTTTATTAATATTGTGATAATTATCACTTTATTTTTGTACAAAAAAACTTTATTTTTTTGGCTAATTTATTATATTCGTGGATATTTTTATTATTGTTATGATAATTATTTTTATTATTTTTGTTTTGTATTAAAATAATGATAAAAATATTTACAAATATAATAAATATTGATATCATGTATGAAGTTGCGTTGATGGTGATTGTAATATGGCTAATTCTATTTTGGATCTTATCAACTAATGGACAATGAATTTTTGTTTTTTGTTTTTATCGATACAATTAAATGAGTCACTGATAAAAAATCGGAATTCTCGTTTTACTAAATTTTTTGTCTTTTTATTTCTATACTATTTTGGAAATTTTTTTATTCATTTTTTACCTATCAAAATCATGCGCTGGAGAAAAAAATGACTATTCCATCTAACTCAATTCTATAATTTAATTCATTCTTATCTTTTTATTTTATTTTTTATTTTTTGGGTTCGACAGTTAGAGGCGTCCAGAATAACTTGCATACACCTCAACTAATCTTCTCTCTGATTCGGTCAAAGATAGACCATTTACATTGGAATTAAAGTATTCATGAGAGATAAATCTCAGATAACCTAGTTTCAAAAAATTGTCAAGATTCGAACTCAATACGTTTGAATTTACTCGAAAAATCAAATCAAAAGATGAGGTGAAAAAACATTATTAACTCAATGTAAATTCAGACGTTTTGAGTTTGAATCTTGACAATTTCATAGGATCAAAGCATGAAATATTTATCCCTTACAAATTCTCTAATTCCAACGTGGATGACTCATGTTTTTAATTAAACTGAAGAGAGGATTAGTTAATATATACATAAATTGAGATTAATTAATATACACATAAATTGGTTTATAGTACACCTCGTACTATTGAACCCCTAAAAAAAAAAAATATCAGGTTGAGTTAGAATTAAATAACCATCTGGGGTTAAGTCTATGATTGTTATTTGGATTGTCAAGCAAAAAGATAGCACACAGCATATAGGCTATTTCTTAGAGGGATTTACAGGCACCAACACCACAAATCCCAATGTTAACTAACTCTTCGGCTCACAAATGGAAAACTGAATTGGACAACGTTTCAGTGCACTTTTCATTTTTGGTTAAATCAAAAGACTCCCACTACAAAATTATCACCATCTTTCTGCTTTTCTATATTTATGTAATTTGACAGCTATAATTTTCTAACTATGGAAGAAAAAGAAAAACAAGAGGGTTAGATAGGCAAATAATGGCTTAAACATAGCTGCCAAAGACACCCAAAACCACAACATTTGAACTGTCTTCAAATGATCAACCAATATCGTTTGTTAGAGTAGCATCGTTGGAACGAATTTATCGACGATTTAAATGTCATAAAGTCCACCAAGGAAGAGAGAGCAAAAAAAATATGATTCCATCTTCCTATTCTTTTCCTGTATTTTAAAAGTTACATTAATTATTTATCACTTTAAGATTGTATTGAATGGTGATAATAATACAATTTATTTGAAATTTTCTAATCTTCTCACCACAAGAACACCCCTAAACGGTATATTCAAAACTATTCAATCTCTTATGTTCCGTTTGATAGGAAGGATGAAAATAGAAGATATACACTTTCTATCATTCAAGGAAGGAAAGTAGGAATAATACATTTTCCTTTCGTTATGTGTGGTTGGATGGATGAAAAATAAAAATAACTAATTTTTTTTTTTGGTCTTGACTAAGATTAGGGGTGACAATCAAGTCATGTCGTGTCAGATTTGTGTTGAGTCATTATGGACTAATGTCGAATATTAATCAAACCTAACTCAACTCACTTAACTAATTGTGTTGTGTCAAGTTACGAGTTGACCTGTTTATTTTCGTGTCGTGTTTGTGTTTGTGTTTGTATTCGTGTTAATCTATTTTTAATTAAAATATAAATCTAGATTTTTAATTAAGATGGAAAAATATTTTTTTTTAATTTAAAATTAATTTTTTTAATTATTTATATATATATATATATATCAAAAGATATATGAACAAATAATTAATTTTTCATTTACTTTCTTTTCGATTTTGGAGATATTAATTTTGGTGAGTTAGAAGGAAAGTTAATCCCTCAATTTTTCTGTCCTTCGTATTTTCTGTCCTTACTAAACATGATATTTTATTTATCTCTCAAATTTTTCATCATATCAAACAGAGCATTAGATACAATTGCAACACCCAAGTTAGTATTTTATAACTAGCCAATAATATATTAATAAATAGACTCATAAATTATGTGTATGTACACATGGCCGTCATTGTGTTTTATTAGAGCATCTCTAACAACAAAATTTATTTTAACTACTCAAAAAATAATATTTTTTATTTTAGCTACTCACTTTTTTAATATTCACTTTAACACTCCTTTTAAATATTATTTCTCATTCTTTTTATATTATTATTTTTTTAGAATAGTAAAAGAGAGAATGAATGAAAGAAAAGGAAGAGAGAGAAAATATTATAAACAAATTTTTTTTATTGTTACAATGATACTCCAAAAAAATCTATTTTAAAATATCCGAACATATTCTGTTAGAGTATAATTTTTTATTTTACTTAACTAAATTTTAGTTATTTTTGTATTTTACATCATTTCTTAAAAATGCTCTTAAATGTTGTATCTATCAAAATATGTGATGAATACGTTATTAAATGATTACATCACATATCGATTACAATGTGAGTCGTTGTCGAGCAATTAAAGGTAATTGATGCATGTGAAGCTGCAGAGTCCCAAAAATAAATGCCGGCCAAAGATGTTACCCCCGAGGTAGGGGCACTTTTATCCAAGGCGAGTTCCTTTAAGAGCAGCCCTTTATTTTGTGACTTATAATTCTTTAAAATAACAGGCCAGAAATACTTGCATTTTTATGACCCGATCACTTGCATGGTTGGTTTTGGACCAAATCGATCCAAGATTCCATTCTTAGGTTTATTTAGAGAATATACCCAAGTTCGGCTGCACCCAAATTTTCGCAACAAAAGCTGTTGTGGCCCGTGTATGCGACGAATAATCGATGAAATAGAATAATAAAAGTACATAAATTTTTGCATGGTTCGATAAATTGTCTATAATCACAATTCTAGAGCCGTTGCTTTATTTTTTATTTTACATTAAATTAAAATTACAATTTAACTTATATATATTATAATCCTAATTAGGACATTCCGAAAACATGTGCTATTCGCTAGATGACCAGTTGTCTTTGTTCACGCTCTGACAACTAACCCATTATCTTTTTGGACTTAATGTAACTATTCATATTCTCTCTATATAAACCACATATCCCAACAAAAACTTTAAAAGTTAGGACCATTTATATCAACTCAACTTTGTCAAGTGGTGTATTTCATTGCTTTTGGCCGCAAGCATTGAAACATAAACAAGATACATAATGTAATGTAGTAGAAGTAGCAGCAGCAGCTAATTTTCAACTAATCCCCACCCTAGAAATCAAAACCATCCCACCCTAGAAATCAAAACCATAAATATAACAGGCCGTTTGACACACATTTTTGCATCCATTTCACTCGACAGTACCATATAGAGTCATAAAAGTAGTAGTGAATAAATGATGTGGACCAGAAACTAATTAAACTACATGTGAGGGCCAGGTTGTTAGTCAAAAGAATGGTACCCTAGTGCATGAACTAGCTCACACATCGATCAAAGTTGACTTAGATCATGTTATTTTAACAGTAAGAAACCCACGTCGCTATCGTAATAAAAATTATAATTTATAAATACTTAAGTTATAATTCAAAAAATTATTTTTGATTCTAAAATAAAATACAACTTTTAAATGAGGAATAAAAACTTATTGAGGTAATTTATGGTTAATCACAATATTTTACGACCAATTACAACCTTGTTATCAATTACGTAGTGTCGTGATTGATCAAGAATAGTTTTAACTTATTTGCAAGATATAATTTGACCACGGGGATAAATTTTGGTGGTTATAATTACACATGCCAAGAGATTATCCAAGTTTCTCTTGTCTGGACTCAACTTGGGCTGCCCTACTTTTTCCGCTACCGTTGAAATTTTATGTTCATCATCTCTGTTTTCAAAAGACGATAATCAAACGTGTTAAAAGGGAGACACCTATCTCCTAACCAACTCATTCCATTAATCAAACCTGTTAGATTTGACTTACATTAATATCTATATGTTATTATGGATTTGCACTTGCTAGGATCAAGAAACTTTTTTTGAATTTTAATACATTTTAGTAAGCATAGCACCAATCAAGAATTCTCGACGAATGGCAAGAGTTCTTGCTCAACAACCAAATTTGAATCGTCGATCCTCTTTTTGAAATTCATTGCTATTGAATCGATCCAACGCTATACATGATCATGACAATATAAAGAGAAATTATTGTTTAATTGGGTTAGTGCCTAGTTTAGGAATTTCTAACAGTTGGAGGTTGGGTTGATTGGACTTGAATGGAATAATAACCCATCCAAACTGCTCTATACTTTATGCATAGTGAAAGTGACGCACACCGCCCAGAATAGTAAGAGTAACATGGCTACATAACACTTTTATTAATCGAATCCTTTAATAATTTTCTAATATGCTCCTATGGCTAGACATGAATAGCCTTTTTCTCCTAAGTGATGCATATTATTACATTAATATTATTAATTCTTAAT